GAAAATGTACAACAATATTTAACTAGAATGAAGAAAATTAATTTCAAACAATACAATTTCCTGAAAATATTATATTTGTATGCTAAATATAAAACATGTTGATAAAAAATAATTATCATGTCTAGACAAAATACATAATGTGTATAATCGAGCAGGTTGATCTGTATGGATAGTGAGAAAATCATGCCTACTCATTACCCTCAATATTCAGGTTCGGGTTTTACCCGTACCTACTGAAAACAGTTCGAATTTGGATTTTATCCTACCCAATTAGGTCGGATTCAGATGGATTAATATCCACGGTTTCAGATATTTTTGTCATCTCAAATTGACAAAGGCGTGCCAATTGTGGTAGGTTTGCTTTAGCCTTTAGGTCACAGACACAAGTGGTCATTGTCAATATCTAACGAGTCAAGAAGCATTCATACATACAATACAGAATGATACGGAGTCGATTAACAATAAAAATAATTCGAAAGATACAACTCAATTTATCACCTATACCGCGTTCAAGTTGACTTATCGATTACTATACAACTTTTTACAACACATCTCATATAACCTACCAATATTTGAGACCAAATTATTGTTCTAGAAATCATGGCAACTGCAAACTTCAACTGTAACATTTAATTACTCCAATATGCAAACCACCCTTAGGAGAACACATTCATTCCCACTTGCCTTATACCCTCCCTCCCAAAAGCTCCATTGATTTTCAGCAGACTATGTCTGAAAGCTCCAATTCAGCAGCAAAGGAAACTTCATTACAGAGGGGGACCAAAGCAACATAACCATACTATACTACCAGCTATCTAGTTAACTGAGAAATCGAGGACCATTAATCCATATATATTCCAATGGAAGGGCGCAGATCGAGAAAGAGAAGAAGGGAAGAAAAAAACAGTGATGTCCACTACCAGAAACAACAGTAGTACACCCAGCCAGCCTCTCTCTGCATGTTTAATGTTAATTAAAGGTACTAATATCTATTCTATGGTGACCACAATTTGCCAACAGACTGACACCTAATTAGCAGCTAGCTAGGCAAAAGGCAGGCCCTCCCTTGGCAAAGGCACTAGAAGAAAGGAGAGCCGATCGAGGGCCGGGTTTAATGCCCCTTTAAAATGTTTGTCTCAGACCCTTTTGTACTATACAAAACTTACCATTGTGGGCATAAATGAAAACATTAATATTATGATGAAAACGAAAGAATGGCAGAAGGGGAGACAAGTGAATTTGGAGGTTAAGGGCAGTCACTACCAACAAAAGTTTTAAGTGGAGTGCATGTCGACCTTTATGAAGTTTTTTCTTTTTGTTTTTAATGGAAGCTAACCCCCATATTAGAGGCATAATCAGTAGTGAACCCATTCACTCATTCTACCCTAAAGAAGAAAGTAAAAACATTCAATGAATAATATCAATAACTCACTTATTATATATATATATGGTGGCGTATTCAGTGCACCAACTTTTTTTGGTGCACTCAGTACACCCGCCTCATAATTGTCATTCTGAGCATGTGATTCATGTCAAAACGGTATCAATTGTTGCTTATGATATTATGAACAAGAAGCACATGAATTTGAAAAAAATTCATTCAAAATTTACTTTAATTTGAAGGATTTAGGGATTTAGGGTTAGGGATTAGGTTTAAATTTTGGGATTTTGGATTGGGATTTAAAATTGAAGGTTAAGGGGTTAGGGTAATAAATTGATTTGTTATGATTCTATGTCATATCATCATATTAGATTGAGAGTACTAATTAAAGTTCGAAATTTCATGTAATATGGACACTTTTAGAGTAGGTGCACTGAGTGCACCCAAAAAAGTGAGTGCGCAGAAGTAGCCACTATATATATATATATATATATATATATATATATATATATATATATATATATATTATACTCCTGCACTACGTACCCCAAATAGGGGTGGACATTAGGGGTGGGCATTCCGAATAAGATTAATGAAAACCAACCTTGTTAAGAAGGTAGCATCAAACAAGATTGATGAAACCCACCCTTGTTATGAAGGTAGTATGAAATAATATTTTTTTTTGTTTCTAGAGTGTACAAAACGTCTAAGAGAGTAAGAGTCTTGTTAGAGGTAAAGTTCGATTCCATACTCAAAGAATAAGAAACGATAATGGTGTGGGTAGTACCCAATAACACTTTCATGTCATCATATGTTTCAATGTAAGTCTTGAACATAACACGGTTTCTGGACACATGCTTCGAGTCGCCAACATCCAAACACAAACCTCCAAAGTTACTAGTAAGGTTAATTTCAGCTATTATCTCTTTTACCATAGCTAACAACTCCTTTTCTTCAGTCAAGTTAAACTAGGACCAGTACTAGACTTGTTCCTATATTTTCATGCAATACGACTTTGTTTTCATAATTATAATGGAGAGATGGAGTGTCATTCTTAGAAGATTAGGCCATGAATTTGTTGTTACCACAAAAAGTACCATTTGGATTGGTTTGAATCTAGTTCACTTTGCGATTCTGGTCGTTGAAAATTTCTAGTATGGTTACAGAGCCTCATGAGGAGTAGGTCACTTAGTACCGACAAATAACACGCATTACTTCATATGTTGTTTGCGAGCATCCTCATCAGTCGAAAGTCGAGTTATCAAACTATCCAACAAAAGTTATTTTGTTTTTATGTCTAAGAACATGCATTTTTAAAATCTTTCCACGGAGAATGCAACTTATCATTACTAGCAACTTCAATCTAATTGTCAAGAGGTATACCTTCCAATATATCTCATATCTCATTTGCAATCTTTAGGTGTTCATAAGATTGAACTTCAACCAACACTTCGTCCAACATCAAGTATCGTAGGTAGCAGCTGGCATCATACTTATTGGCTCCAAACTCCTCAGTTTCGTACTTCTTATGGAGAGCTTCCCGCACCATCTTTGTCGTATTGTTCTAATTAGTGTAGTAGCCGTAGAGAACATCCGCAAGACCATTAAGGGTTTAGTTCTTGCACAAGAAATCATCCTCTCTCCAACTTTCAATTTCCAACAATGAACTTCTCCGCATCAGTAGGATCTTCAGGCAAAACATGTGGCATAGAGGTTAGGGAGTTAGCCAACTTTTTGATTGTAAGGTAAAACAAGATATTTTGTCTCCAATGATAAGAACATCTAAAAATTGATAATGCTAGATCAAGATACAATATTCTATTATGTAGCACTGATGTACAAACACACAACATCTTAAAATTGGTAGAAACCAAACGAGAAAACTAGGGTTACCAATCTGACTGAGTCGCAAATTAGGTCCCTCACTTTAAGATGTTCGCGATACTACCTCGTAATTGTGCACAACATACTATCAGTCAGTGTAACACCTTAGGAAAATCTGACATCGACAAAGGACGAGAGAGATCCATGGTTCATAAGTAAAAAACCAACCTTAATTGACAAGGCGTGTTTTGGGGTGAAATGGAATAGTTCTTGTGAGAAATCTGAAGTTAAACGTGCTCAATGTGGAGTACAACAAGGATGGGTGACCTTACGGGAAGTCACCTTGAATTGCACCCCAAATCAGAAACCGTGAGGGTCGAGGCACAAAGCGGACGATATATTGGTCGGGAAAAGATTCGGGATGTTACAGTGAGTGGACTACAAGATAAAACAATAACTCCCTATTCTCTTTGTTGATGCGAAAACCAAGAGATCTACGAAAACACTTCTTTCTTTTTTTCTGTTCTATTTTGTGTGGTTATAGTTTGGTAGCTCTGCTATTCTTTTATAGGGGCACAATCTTCCGAATTTTCCTTCTTTTATAAAGAATTTGTTAAACAAGTTCTAGGAGGATAACTACTCCGCCAACACTAAATATTATATTTAATAAGAATTATTAGATTGAGCTCAATTAAACATCGTTTTTTGGTATTATAAAATAATTAAAATGAATTATCTAAAGAAAATACTCTGAACCCCGACCCACTCGCTTGATGGATAACACAGGAAACTACAATCTTATAGAGAGAAACGTAGCCTTAAAAGACCCTTGACAATGTTGATTTCATCAATATTGTATTTTTTAGACTTTCGTTAACTTTTATAGGCCATTCACATTCTCAACACGGACGTTAGTTCTCATCCATGTGTATACAAGCCGCGATAACTCTTATACGTGTACTCAAAGCAAAAAAACGACTCCCATCGATCACATTCCCGTCATCTCTAATCTACGATCAGCAAGACAGAAACCAACACAGAACCACGTCGTTGTCACGCTCAACAGTACCCACACACAAGCCCACGAGTAACCTTTCTTACCTCTGTTGCCGAACAGCCCAAATGGTATGGTTGTCATTTGTCAATCTCTCGTATACATTAATTTCCATACATAATACGTTGTCGGCTTCAGACTGTTGGCTGTGCCATATATATCATGACCAACTCCTCCATGTTCCAAAAACACCACCAGCTAATTTAAGTTACAGCTAATCCTACAACACAAACGGCCGGACGAGGAGATTGTGTGTGCTCTCTGTGCTGTGGTGGACTTGTGAGCATCTAAGACGTGTTTGGGGAGTGTCGCCTCACAAAACTCCAAAAGAAAGATGGCAAAGTTGCAATCACATCACTTTTCTTCAAAAAGTCGCAGGCGGCCCCCCGCGAATTGGCCGCGCTATTTACCCTTCCTTTTACTTGCTTCCTAAACAAAAAAAATATAAACACCCCCACACCCCCTCTGTCCCCCTTTCCCATAAATCATAATCCCCTTTTCCTACAACTTTGTCAAAAACCAAACACCCCCTTAACCATCGACATCCTTTTCTTTTTTTTTATTTTTCTTATTATTCAAAAAAATAAAAAATAAAACCCTCCCAATTCCCATCATTTACCTCTTTAGTCCCTTTCACCTCTTTATTTTCCCCCCTCTAGCATAAAAATACATTTAAATCCCTTTTTCTTCCCCGTATATATATATACCGTGGGGGGAAAACAAATTGTCCTAGTCCATCACATGGCCGCCAATCGCCCTGACCTTCCCCTTCCTCCTCCTAGTGAGCCCTCCCAATCCAACCAACCACCGCCTCCTCCGCCGTCGCCGTCGCCGCTCATTCTCCCATCTCCGCCGCAATCTACTCCCCCTAACCCTACTCCAACTCCCACTTCAACAACAACAACTACAACTCCTACCTTCACTTTCATCACTCCGATTCCGATCCCAAATTCGATCACATCTTCCCAGCTTCTGCCAGCAGCTGTCACCACCACCACCGCCGCTGCAACTACAACAACCACTCCCTGCTCCTCCCCGACCTCCCCTTCTTCCGGGAAGCACCCGGCGTACAGGGGGATCCGGGCCCGGAGCGGGAAGTGGGTGTCGGAGATCCGGGAGCCCAAGAAGACGACCCGGATATGGCTGGGAACCTACCCGACCCCGGAGATGGCGGCCGCAGCGTACGACGTCGCTGCGCTGGCGCTCAAGGGTCCCACCGCCCCGCTCAATTTCCCCAACTCCATCATCGCCTACCCTATCCCGGCCTCCCCTTCCGCCTCCGACATTCGCGCCGCCGCCGCCAAGGCAGCCCTCGCCCGCCTGCCCAAACCGGTTCCCGTTGCCAGTAGTACCGCTGATCATCCGCCCGCCGCCTCCTCCTCCTCATCCTCCGTGGAGGAGATCAAAGTGGTGGTTGTCAAGGAGAAGGAGGAGGAGGAGGAGGAGGAGTTCATGGACGTGGATGAGCTGCTGAACATGCCGAATCTGCTGGTGGATATGGCCGGAGGGATGATGGTCAGCCCGCCCAGGATGGATACGCCGTCGTCGATACATGATTCGCCGGATAATTCGGATGCCGGGGATTCGCTCTGGTCGTATCACTTGGGAAAGTGATCAACACACACAAGGAAGAAAAGGAAATTAAAAAAAAAAAAAAAACAACAACACGTCCCACCCGATTATTGTTTAATCTATATTTACGATGGTAATATATATATTATACTTATAGAGAGATCTCTATTTATATTTATATTCTTCAACATGTATGCTACTCTCTGATTTGTTTTCTTCGATTTGTTTTCTTTATTTCCGTTTCTTGTTTTCGCCCTGCCGGGTAGGGTTGATTACCGGTCCAGCCCGCTGCTAGGTAATTAGTTGGACGGATCAGGTGACGGCCGGCGGGAATCATAACCAGCAGCTGCGTGATCAGTTGATGGCTTCTCCTTAGTTTTCTTCCCCTTTGGTAATTTTCAGAGTGATCACATATTGTTTGTCCCTGGGGGGGATCTAGCTAGCAAGCTAGCTGCTCCTCCTTAATGATCAATTGACGACAAATTTGCCTCTTGCTTTATGATTGATTGTCAAGTAGTACTCATGATGATGTGATGATCAGTTTTTTTGTGTCTTTGTCATCTGCATTCCAAATCACCATCACATCCCATTAGGGTTCATATGTGTGCTTGGCCATATTGATTCGTGTTGCTATGACTTTGAACGGATTATCTGTCATTGAAAGTCTATAATGTATGAGCTTATACATATTTGTGTTACTGTTTCCTGTTCCGGTCTCGGTAACATTTCTTCTCTCCAGGTTGGGTTGGATCAGGATTAGTCCGTTTGTGAAGGTGTTACATACACGATGCAATCCGTATCTCCTCAAATACAGTGAAATTGGTCTCTCCTGCTCATAACTTAGTTAACACACATCGTGTTAGTGAACCACACATAAATCTATGTACTCTTTACTTTCTTGTATTGTCGATTTCCCGTTCCTTAACGACATTTCGATCAGCACTAAGTCAAACCGTTTATGCTCAGATGAATGTGTTTGATTCCCTAATCCTCTTCGAGGTACTGCAGCAGCCTCTACTAGATGGATGCTACTGCAGATAGGTGCAGTGGTTGATGTGTAGAGTACTTGTTGCAGCAATGTCGCTCTGTCAAGTTGTGCATGGCATGATTGCCAGGATTTGCGTATACATGTAGTAGTAGACCAAGAAAGAGAGAAACTTGTTGCAGTTAACTTCTTACATAGTGGAAAAACAAGGCAAGAGTAGGGATGGGAGGGAGAGAAAAAAAAACCCTGCAGAAGGGTCAGTGATACAGTTTTTTTCTCTACAGGTGAAAAACAGAAACACAAACATAGATCTTCCCATATATTTATGGTAAAAAATGTTGGGGCGGCATTTTGAAGATACCCAAATAGACGTCTAGGGTAAACTATAAATCTAACACCGATCTTGGCTTTCCCTTTATCATTTCCTGTGGAAATTTATGGCTCCTTTCCTGACCGTACGCATATATGGCATATGTCATATGTGTTTCTGCTGCTGGTTTTAATTTGCTGGCCATTGAAATTAACGGTTTGGAGTTGAAGCCGGATTGAGGACGTGGGTGGACAGAGAGCACAAAGTTGATGTAGCTTGGATCTTAATTGATTGAGTCGAAAGTAAAGTGTGGTAGCTAGCCCAGCAAAATAGGCCTGCAAACCTAGAGCCCTAATCACCCACTTTTGTACATTTTGCAGCTTTTATATATAACATTCTCATGCGGCCTTACTGCACTAGTATACATAGTATTCTTCTTGGTAACAATTTGGTTGGTGCATGCATGTCAGGAAATGTTCATTTGTTTAGTCTCTCCTGAACTTTGTTTTGTTGAGTTGAATTGGCTTCTGAGATGTATCAAAGGACGTTATAATTTCTCTTTATAACAATTCATGCGTGCAATATATTAAAAAATTTCCTAAAATATAACACAAATACGTGCTTAATAAGTAGGGTCGGAGTAAATATACATCATGTTAAAGAAAATACCCGTTACCAATGTGTTCAATTGGACCGTTCCCAAATACATTTTGAGGGAAGAGCAAAAATGATCCAATTGTGACCCTTAATTTTTCTGCAAGCTAACTACCGGGTCAATCTAATTTTATACCCCATATATCAACAACTGAAATAAGGATAATGTTAATGATGAGCTAGGTCTAACTTCAAGATCAATTAGACATAATATTCATTTTGAACGTCTCTCCACGATACGAGATTTATGTGACTAACATGTTAAAGTGTGTCATCACCCACAAGATATGTGTCTGATCTTCTCTACGTCATACCGTTGTTGAGTTTAAGATACAAAATAGAATCTCGTCTTTCATAGTGTCATTTCGTAATGGTTAGCCCTAGTCAAGGACAAAAAGAAATCCACAAAGAAAAGTTTCTCTTTCCTTGAAACTTACTCCTTCCACTTCCCTCGAGCAAAAAAATAACAACTCCTCCGTTAATTAACAAGTAGTAGATTATTCTTTTGATTATCCGTAAATCCTCGTTAATTAACACGTATATTTCCCGTACTCGTTATGCTTTGCATGATGTATTTTGTTATCAATGTTGAGGGGATTCAACTCCAGCAGAAGTGAAGGGAAAACATAACAAATTAAACAGTAGTTTTAGTCTGGTCTGGTGACACCAGAAACCAGCTATGCTACTAGATATCTTTGCCTTTGGCCTTTGCTTTTGTGCATTGAAAGTACATAATTTCATCTAGAAAAAAAGGCAGCAGCAATTGCTAATTCAAGGGTACACCAACCATCAAACGAGCCAGCAGCTTTTTACCTTCTACCATATATGCTGTTGATGAGGACGACATTGAAGGGAGGATGTGGGATCGAGACACTAGCTAGCTAGCTAGATAGATTAATTGGTGTCAGATATCCTGAACATATGCAATGCAGTGTTAATTGATCATTCATTAGCTGCTAGCTACATTTACATGTGTAATGAATTCACCAGAGTTAATTTTGTAAAGGCTTAAATATCATGCATGTGCCCACTGGTTGAAATGGAATAATTGAACATTTATTTTGGGGCTTCAGACTGGTTTTTAGTGTCATCTGCCAAAAAAAAAAATACTTATATGTAGTTGCATATTTCACTCGTGTTACTTTCTTTTTACATGACCGGTTTTCTTTGCCGTAAAAATGAATGGGTGTGGACTTTGTTGGATCATATGCCTTCATATAGTTACGATTGTTGTAAACCGTGTTATCTGTACGTGGGGCGATCCAACAATTTCAACATACATTAGGTGATATCAACATTCATAAAAATTGTAGTTAATTGTAGTAGTACAACATCAAGGATTTAATTAGCTTGTCGTGTCAGAAAAACAAGTTGGAGGGGAAGCTAGCTAGCTTTAGCACAAATGGTTTTGGATGACGATGCGCATTGCCATGGATTTTCACCAGCCTCATGATATATGGCAAATACCAAAATGCCATATAATGCATTATTAGACAAATAAGTTAATCAAACTGTTTTTGTCCTTTCCTCGCCTCATAATTAGGGCTAGCGACTCTCCCATATGCCAATATTCGAATTCGAATTCTAGAAGTGATGATAGGATTTGTTATGGAAGAATGATTCGTTTTTTTTTTTTTGGGGAACATTCATATATCCAATACCCATTTTCCTCTCTTTTGGTGGCATAATATTCAATTCCGTTCGATTTGCAGATTTATTAACTTCTTATTCATCTCAATATAATCATTTCTTGGTAAGAAAAGATGTAAAACTATAGCTTGTACTTAGTGGAAGAATAATAATATGGATGTCTCGAATTCGAATCACTTTAATAACATTTAATTATAAAAGTCGACCTATTTCACTCTATTCAAAAATTAATTACCAACGATGGACTTGTAGTCAGTCACCGATATTACTAGAGTAATTCAATAGTAGTGCATTCGAGTTATGTTGTTTCCTTGTAGATCTCTAGTTATCATAACCATATATCTCGTACTGTTATAAGTTAATCTATACTTTCATTTCCTTTTTTACCAATTAAGCTATGATCCAGATTTGATTTCATGAATACTTGACGAATCCATAAAAACCGATGATTCGTGCACGCTACCCCACTAATCGATAACTACAAATAGACTCTCGTTCTTAGAATGGTAGGCCAACTTATACGATCCTAGTAAGAAATGGAGGGTTGAAAGATCCAGCGGCAGATCTATAACACAGTAGAGCAGTAAGCCGCATTTTATTAGAAAATTAGATACCGTAAAAAAAAATAATGATCATAGTTTTTTTACAATGCCAATTGTACACGACAGTCATTTATGGCTGAATGTGGTGGGAGGGGAGAGGCGGTGGTGGGTGGGGTGAGGAAGGAAGAAGGGAGGGGCGGCGATGGAGTATGTGGGGAGAGGAGAGGCAGTGGATGAGGCAGGGAAAGGGAGAAGCGAGGGGGTGAAGGGAGAGTGGGAGGAGTGGTCGGTAGTGGGACTTGGGGTGGGGGGGGGGGGGGGATGGGCCGGCGGAGGGGTGAGGGGGGGCGGGGGAGGACCGCGATGCAGTTTCTTGCCGGGAAGAGAGTGAGATGGATGGTTTTAGGGTTTGGGTAGAAGAAGGATATAGTAAATTATAAATATAGGTCATAATCTGGTGTACTAATATTTTTCTTCCAAAATTATCCTTAATCTAATCTTGATGTTATTTTTAAAAAAGGAAAAATAGAGCTAATTAACGGTTTAAATGTGGGTTGCCACAATGGTTACTAAAAAACTAGTATTCACCATAACGCATTCACAATACATGCATATTCATATTTTTAACCACACATCCAATGTAAAGGGATTGTACATAAAACTTATATAATCACTCGTAGACTACACGTAGGTCTGACTTCGCGACATCAATTGTTTATATCAAAATAAATTTATTAATTATCACATTTAGTATTTATTGATAATTAGGACACTTTAAGTAGTTTTCCCTATGGTAGCCGCCATTCAAGATGGTGACTATACCAACTATGGTTACTGTTACCATTCATCATAATGGATACCATCCAACTCCTATTATGGATGGTATCATCTCAATCGCAAT